AACTCACGCGCAATGACTGCGATGGCAGAATCGCGGCATTGTTGCATGCCACACAATCAAGCATTTGTACGTTTGCCAAATTACCGTGTAAATCTTTCACAGTTCAGGCAATAAATAAACCAAATAAATTTGTCACAATTCACTAACGAGCGACAAGCGGACAGACGGGGATGCATACACGCACACAAACACCCGCCACGATCTTACAGTCATACTCACATGCGTTCGTACATACATATATTTGTTTGTGAATATTTACGGGTTTTTTTTTTGTTTTTTTGTTTTTTGTAAAATGTCTGCTGCGTACTGTTGTATTTGATTTAAATATAAAACAAAAAGAAAATACAAAAGTAAATACATAAATACGTAAACCAACACATTTGTCTCGAAAAGAGCGCTGCTCGGCGATATGTTGCGCGCCGCCATTAGCGTCAAGCTGTCTGTAGAAAATACGATGGCGGCGGCCGCCGCGACCACAGCTATGCACATCGTTACCGCATTAAATAAGAAGAATATGTACATACATATGTATGTATGTGGCTGGGGCGAACTGACACGCATTATAGTGAAATTTGATTTAAAACGTAAGTTTTGATTTGTCCACTATTTGTGGTAAAAGTTCACGGTTTTAGGAAAAAGCAGCAAAAGAGCTCTAAAATTTTTTTTTTGTCTAATGCTAATAGATATATAGGCTCCAATGGGCAGTGCCGAATTTATGATCTATGGGACCATAGGCGATACGATTAGGTTTTTCTATACAATCTATAAATGCATGATTTGTAAATTTTTAACCAATATTTTTCGATCGGAAAGCTCTGTTTTTATTCAGTTGACTCCCAATAATATTACCCAATGTTTATTTAACCAATTTTTCGTAGTAAATATATTTTATAGTTCCATCAATAACCTCAGAAAATGCAATGGAGGACCAAAAAACATTAAATTTTTAGATTTTGTTTTAAAAATAAAACAAAAATATATTTTTAATGTCATCCAATTTTTAAAAATAATTTCATTTTATTCTGCTTTATTTTCGTTTTGTTTATTTTTTTTTCATTTAATTTTCTTTTATTTATTAATTATTATTATTTTAAAAAGAAAAACATATATATTTTCTTTATTTAATTAATTTAAAAAAAAAAACTTATTGCTAAAAGGCGAACAGCATAACGATAAGATTTCCTCGTTAGCAGATCTTTCAATTAGTCTTTCGAAATATAGTAAAGAGCTTTCAAGATAGTTGCCAAAATTGGTAATTGTCTTACGAAAGACTGTGGTTAGTTTTATCTATCTTATTTGAAAATTTGCCTTTATAATTTTGTAGTAAAAAAGCTGTTTTATTAATTCACTAGCTTATTGCGCTAAGGACCGCTATAAAACTTTAGCTGCGCTTAAATTCATTAACACTTGCACCACAGCCATTGTTTTTAAATTTTCTTTATTTATACTTTTTATAAATCATATATTTTTTACAATTAAAAAAATATATGTTTTGACGATCGAGGCGAACAGCAAATCGACGCGAAAGTTGTATATGGACGAGCCTTAATACTCATAGAAAGTACAAGTTACCCAAAGTAACACCTCAAATTTGTAATCACATGGACTTTGATCAACGCTTTGATCAAAACTGTGACCCGCTGATGTGGGTGATATCAATCTGATCCCTATGGCTGTGCCGATGGCACGCGTATTCCATTTGCCTACCGCTGAATCGACGAAACGACGCATTTTCCTTTGCTTTGATTGACTCGCCTTCAGTGCATCCTACGTTGCTCAAAAATATATAATATGAATATATAATTTTTTATACCTTTTTCCTTTTTTTGAACTTGTTATGTGGCGCCCTTAGGCTAGCGCCTATGTAGCCTGTGTTTAAATCCGGCCCTGCCAATGGGTTATAGTTGGGCTTCTAGGTACGCAGTTACCACAACAAACGATTAAGGGACCATTAGTTGAGGTTATGCACCTGGAATGTCTGGGCCCTTAATGGGGAAATTGCCTCTATCAGGATGGTTACGTCTTACTTCGCCGCTAAGTATGTACTAATTTGTGGCCACGCTCCGACGGAAGAGAATTACGAGGCGTCCAAAGGCATCTTATTTGAATTCTAGGAAAACACCTTCGAGCGCTGCACCAGTCCCGATTTGAAAATCGGGCATCAGAAAATGCAGTCTCCGTGACGATACGTTCATGAACGCAGAAAGTTGGGCAATATACGGAAGCAGCTACAGTATCCAGACCGTAACTGGGCTGGATTAATGCGGATCTCTCTTGGCAGCTGAAGCTAATTTTTCTGCAATATTTAGGCATCTATCATGACATTCTTGGGCGAGCGTCACAAAAGGTGATGACAGACTCTTTACGTTGACAGCTTGTCTGCATGCTGTTGGCTGTTTTACGTAGGTCTGTACTGCGCCCTTGTACTCAAAAAGATCTCTTATGACGTGCCTTGGTAAATGCTCCTCCTCACGCATGGCCCGTCTTCGCTTATTGCGCTCCCTAACAGCGAGCATTTAAGCTTCACTATGCAGGTGAATTTCAGGCGACATCAGAATGCATCCAGTCGCTTCGTCCCTGCCGACCAAACAGGTGCATACAAAGTCTCTTTGGCTTTGCCATAGATGTTGCCGGCGAACGACTTGAGGCCCTTGCTGCGGCTCTCTACTTACCTTTGATAGCGCGCTCCCATTTTCCGTCGTTCACCGTCTGAAATGGTGTGCCGTCGACTTCAATGTTTCGAGTAGAGCTCGTCAATTCCATTCTCGGACAGTCGTCCCCATATGAGATCAGGCAAACTCCCTCCGGTGGCTGAAGGGCGAGAGGACACTACTCTTGGTATCCCTTGCTCAATTTTCCTTGGTTTTAATGTTTGATCTCAGGTTGTTGAAGCCTACCGACCACTCATGTAATTCACCGACCAGCGGTTTATTCCCTGAGGAAGCCACGATGCTTTTGACAATTCCAACGCCACTAGGACTGGGTTCTCTCACAGGGGCGGTTACGGTTAAGACTACCAGTTATCTGAGTGTTATGGCGTTAAGTGTTGTGGTGGTGCTGTGCACTTTGGGGAAGCTACATTGATGCTTGGCTGGGGTCAGCCTAGTGTCTTCACGACGGGGAAGAGGAGTGTTATCGGCCCCTTTGTTGGCGAGCTTCCTTGGTTTTAGAAACGGGGCCACTCCCCCCGATTTCCACACGTCGGTAATGATGAGAGCGGCCATAGACGGGTTGAGGATACGGTTCGAAGCTTGTAGCAGATGAAGAGGAAGGCCTCCTCAGCGATGGAAAGACCAGGTTGAGGGAGGACTTGGCTTTTCTAATTGCCGTCAGTTAGCACAGAAGAGAAACGAGTCATGCAGAATCGCTTAGGTGATTACAGCGCAAATCAAGATGAAGAAGATGAATGAGGTTGTTGTTGTTGATCTTATGAGATTTTAAAACGAATTTATTTTTAGTTGGGGAGTAATTTCAAGATACATAACAATGCTATCTGAAATTTTTCATAAAATGAAATTAATTGCTTTATTACTTAATTGAATAATAAAAATTATATTTACTAAAATAAGAACGATCAAAAAGCACGGCAGTTTCCGAGTTCCGGCACCGAGTTCTAAAAATGTTTGGTCAAAAGCAGTGAAAAATTAAAAAGTGAAACATTCATTAAAATTAATATTAATAAACATGCATAATTATTAAAACATAGCTTTCGAAAAATTATAAGTAAGTAGAAAACCAATATGGTTACATGCACCCACACAGGCGTGAATGCTTATACATTACACTATTACTCGAGCACTGCAGGGCATCTTACCTAGAGTGCAATCATGCATTCTCTGCCCAGGATGTCGCTTCACTGCTTGCAATCACTTTTTGTTTTCATATTTTTTTTTTTTGTTTTTGCATTGTTTCTGCTGTTGTAGTATTTATTTTTGGGTAGTGGGCGGCTATTGTTATGGTGGTTGTTGTCACATTGCGGCATGGAATGCGCGCCAACGTCTAGACTTCGGCTAGACGAGTTAAACCAAAAAAGCAACAATGTTCGTAACAGAAAGAGCAGCAACAATAGTAGTTAGTAGTATGCTTACAAAGTGAAATATTTCAAAATGTTAATGACGATTTGAAGAGCTTGCAATTGCTGAATGATTCAATGCCACAGGCCTTTCATATACAATGCATAAGTTAAGTTATATATGTATGTATGTACATATGTATGTTTGTTCTGGGTGACAAAACGTAACCATATTTTTTTAACTTGAGGAAGTAAAGGTTGATCGTAGAGTGTTGGCCTTCATTAGTTATTGGGTTGAATTCGAAACTTTTATAAACTATTTGCCTATCTATATCAGTGATGCACAGCGATGACAGAGCTATCAATACATGCGCAACATTTTTGACTCAGTATGTGTGTATAAACGGAAACTGGCTGGTTGATAGCGTCGCAGATGTTCGGTGGCTTCGCACTCATAATTTGTACGTAAAAGCCGGGTGGCTTCGTGAGGCTCACGTGTACATGTCTGATCTATATGTATGTATATAACTTACGAGCAATTACAAAAGTGCTTCTACGCAGCATATATGTACTTTTTATAAAAATCATTATAAGTATTAGCTTTCGTAAAACTTGTTTACATATATGTATTTTTGACATCAAGTATATAAATAATAACACTACCATTAGCTTTTTACAATATCCAGTATTTAAATGCCTTCGCTATCAAAAGGTATTTCTTGAGCTAGTATTTATAAACATGACATCACTGATACAATTATTTTAATTTAACTATAAACCTTAATATTACATAATTTATAAAACAAAGCACATTTTCTACATTACGGATGTATACTTTTTGCTTTTATATATATATTTTACATTAAGATGTGCCGAATTTCTTTTGTTTGAATACGTCCGGCAGTTGTTCTATCAACGTGATAGGGTTCACACCAACTGCAACTAGCTCGTCCGTGCTAAGCCAACAGAGTGATATTAAATGCTGCAATTACATACATATAAAAGTTATGAAATTAAATTTTACTAGTAAACTCGCATAGCGTTAAAACGTCAAAATTGAATTTAACTTTATAAACAGATGAAACCTTATTCAAAACCCTCAAAAAATATTCTTAATGATTCATCTAAACCGTTTCTAAGTGGTTAGAGGTCTCGCATGGTGTCGGTTTTTATTTCATCAAATTTCAAATCTCCCTGTACCGCTAAAAATTTCTAGCTTCAAAAAATAAAACGTTGTTGCACATCTATGCAGAATCCGAGTTCTTTAATTTGACTTTTCATTTTGGAAATTCGAAATACCAATGCAGATGTGATGACCTTCAAAAGAATAGATGGCAACCCTAATTAAAAATATTATCAGCCTAAAGTTTTCTTAAATCTCTTTCGTTTAAGTTTAGTTTAGTTAAAATTTATTTTTTTAGCACGTGGCAATCCTTCTGAATATAGGTCTCAAATAAAGGATTTTGAACCCATTTTCATTGATAACTATCGCTTAGTAATTCATTTAATTTATAATATAACTTTAGTTTACTCTTTTAAACTGGGGCAACCCCCAAACACATCAAAAGTATTCTAAATTGTCAAATTAAATATTTCTTAAAAGTCTTTCATTAGACATACATGTTTTATATTTAATGTAACTTTGGTATAAAATAATTTAATTGGATTTCTCAAATATGTGGCAACCTTCCAAACTACTACCTCCTTAAACCTCTTTTGTCTGACATCGATATGGTGATACCTTATTCACTTACCAAATTCCTTTAATTAAAATTGAATTACATTTTTGAAACATGTGGCAACCCTCCTACACGTAGGTAAGATATAAAGCCTTTTCAAAACCATTTCGGTTGATATCCATATTGCAACAATTGATTTAACTTTTTAAATAATTTGAGCCTAATTTCTTAACTGGTGGCAACTCTTTTTGATAACTTAAGCTCTTTAATTCGACACCTCACTTTTGAAAATCGAACGAATGGTGCGGATCTGAAGGCATTTATTATTAAATAACTTGAGTGTAATTATTTAGGAGGTGGCAACTCTTTTCGAAAAAATTAAACCTTATTGCACATCTACAGCCCAAGCCCTTTAATATTACACCTAATTTTTCAGAATTGAACGGATGGTGCAGATCTGATGACCTGGACAAAAAATCCCTTCGCGTATTATATATGTATATAATAGAAGACATGAAGAAACCAAATTACAAGCAGCACTTACCTCGAAGGATTTCTTGAACTTTAAACGCAGACCACTGACTTTGTTGTCACTATTTACACGCTTGAACTTTTTTCCAGCCTTCTTTTTCGGTGTTTCTCCGGCATCCTCATCTTGCCCGTTCTCTCCTTCCTTACTTGTCGTTTTTTCCAACACATATAAATACGCATCATTGTGTAGTATAATGTGGTTGGGATTGCGCTTATCTACCAACACATTTGAGACACAATGCGTTTCTGCGTTGTCCACGAAATATTCCTGCTCCGAACAGGTGAAGCACATTTCTTCTAAGTCATATTCAATAATTTTACCATCGGAAAATGCTGCAACAAGACGTGGTTCTTGCGCATGTATCGCCAACGCAGTGGTAATAGCCGAGTAGCGTGGCATATTGAGATGGTGTTTGTAGTGTTTCCCCTGGAATATGCGCCACACACCAATAGTATGATCAGTACCTGTCGCTACTACGTATGTACCGCACTCTGACACAGCCAATAGATTAATAACGTCCTTTATGTGTTTGCTGGTTTCAATACTTTCTACAAAATCTAAGTCAGTACTACCATTGTTGACCACCGAAAATACATGTATTTGATGGGTATTGGGTTGCACGAGGAATAAGCGCTTAGAGTCGCTAGTAAATGTTAGATGGGAGGCAATGGTAAACTGTTGGGGCAGCCCTTTAATGCGCGCAAGTTGGGTATCATTTTTGCCGGCCACGGCTGGCACGAAACGGAAAAGTCTTATATGCTTTTGTGTTGAATAGCACAACCACTGACTGTCGGGTGAAATTGTCGCGCAAACTATCGGCTCCTCATGTGTGCTTTTGAATTCTAACAATTTTTCAGGCGCTGAATTCAAGGCAAATAGCCTACGGTCTGGTGCTTTATTTTTGTGCTTTGGTTTGTTATCCTGCTCATCTTCGGCAGATCCCTCAAATTGTGGTCTCCCATCGGTAGAGCCCAGACGCCATATCTCTAGATAGTTTGTATAACGAAGCAGTAATAAACGGTTGTTGGGTGATATAACAACACACGGGTTCTATAAAAATTAAAAATTCGATAAACAAAATTTTAATAAATACACACACTTCACAGGCGACACTCACTTTTAAGAATGGACCATATTTAGCTATTGTAGAGACACGTTTGCTGGCTGAAGATATACCTAAATATCCGTCCATACCGCCGGAATATATACGATCACCAGCACATATCAATGCCTTCACATCGTTGTCGTGCACACTACGTTGCAGATATTTAACCCAACAATTGTATTCCGTGTCTTCCCGCTTGATTTTTGTTTTGGCATAGATTCTGATAATTGGCTCGATTCCTGAGCACATTAACATATTCTCTTCTTCATTTATAGCAACCGTTAGCACATCCGCTTTAAGCACTTGATGTGATTCTAGCTGTGTCGCCATTTTGCCATCCCATACTGTTACCTGTCCACGAGAATCGCCCGAAACGATAGTGAAATCACTTAGCACTTGAAGTGACCACACTATCACCTCCTTCTTTCTTTCCGCCCGTGCAACAGTCATTTTATGCAGCGCATGACCACTCTTCACATCCCATATGCGTATGGCACCTAAGGAGCCTGTCACGAG